TGAAGTCATATGATATTTGTCTTTCTCTGACTGGCTAATTTCAGTTAGCATAATACCCTCCAGTTCCACCCACGTAGTTGCAAATGGCAAGATTTCATTCTTTTTGATTGCCGAGTAATACTCCATTGTGTATATATACCACATCTTCTTCATCCATTCATCCATCAATGGACATTTGGGCTCTTTCCATACTTTGGCTATTGCTGATAGTGCTGCTATAAACATGGGGGTGCATGTACCCCTTTGAAACAGCACACCTGTATCCCTTGGATAAATGCCTAGTAGTGCAATTGCTGGGTCGTAGGGTAGTTCTATTTTTAGTTTTTGAGTAACAATTCATCTTATTTTATATCTTAAAAGCATCTTATTACTAAATTTATAACTTAGATTTTATTTAGTGGAAACATTTTTTCTAAGTCAATTGTCAGTCTTTTGATATTGCTGATGCCCCCTCATATGTTAATCTGATATATAGCAGTTTTGACCAAAAATTTGCTTTATGTTCAAGACACTATGCTGTTTTATGCTATGACTATCATACCTTTGGCACAGAAATAGTAATTATAAATGAAATCTATTTTTTGTTATACTGTCATTTTGGAGATTAAGTTATATTGAAATTTTCACTGAGTCTTTTCTAGAATTAAGTTCATATATCTTAGGAACTAGCATAGAAATTTCCCTTTAGGGTATGCCAGGAGAGGAACAAGTAGTTTTGATAATGAAATGGGACCTTCCAGAAAGATTTCTAAAGCAGCTATAATAATTCAAATAAGAATTGAATTGAGAAAGAAGGAAAAGAGAATTTTTTTTTTTTTTTTTTTTGAGTATCAGTGTTTTGGATAATGATGGTAGTAGAAAGCTAAAAGACCATTCTAATTTTCTTCTTTTTCTTGTGCATTATCTAGAACTATATTCTAATCATGCAACCAAAATAATGGAAATATGATTTTTATTTTCATGGTAGGAGATGGAATAAGCTGAGGCTGCGGGACAAAGAGAAGTGTCTGAAGCTTGAAGGCGATTCTGAGGAGAGCGATGCCGAGTTTGACGATTTTAAAATCCCGGGTTTTCTGTTCAAAAAACTTTTTAAGTATGTGCTGTGTGTTCTTTCCTTTATGTCTGTCATCAAGCCATTGTGTACAAATTAATATTTCAGGAATTACACAGTAGTTACCTGTGGACCCTTAAGGTACTTGTAACAATGTATTGCAGATACGGATACCATCAAATGAAATTTTAGCCACGTGCTGCTCATTAAAAGTAGATGATAATAAATTGACTAATGTTCACATTGGGCATGTTTGTAAGCTGCTGAGTCTATGTGGACCTGTCTCTGCAGCCTAGAAGCAACACATTTAAAAGCCATCTCCATCAGATTATTTTTTTGCTCTTAGTAAATTTAAGGGACCAAATCTCTAATTTCTTAAGTCAGATTAAGTAAGAAGAGATGTATATTAAAATCAATATTGGGGTGTGTTTTTTGTTTTGTTTTTGTTTTTGTTTTTTTACTTCTGTGTAGAAATAAAAAACTATTGAGAGTAGTATCTAAGTGTTTTATGTTGTACCTAAGGGTAGAATACTTCTGAGCTGACCAAATGTGCATCTAAATATTTTATGCAGATGTTGTTCTAATGTCAAAAGAGAAGGTATAGGCAAACACCTTTAGCATTAAGTTGCTATGTGAGACTGTGTTTCATGTGTGAAGTGGCCAAGTGTTCCGGATAACTGGGAGCTGTGTGATAGATGCGTGCCTGTAGCCTACCTGGCCTGGGCCAGTCTCTTATGATGAATGTAAATACTGAGGCACATTTTCAGTCTCATCACTCCTGGGATTTACTTAACAAGATAATTTAGGAAGGCTTCTTCAATGCATAGAGGAAGTTAAACCATTAAATAGCTTTCTGTCTAGTAGCATCACTTGGTAGTTGGGTGCAGGGTGTGAACTTAATTTCTTTGAGACAGTTATGTTTAATCTCCTTCATAGATTCACCTGTCAACCGTGCAAGATCTCTATTGAAAATAGTCTCTATTGAAAACTTGTGCAAGATCTCTATTGAAAAATAACATGCTTTTTATCTTTTCTCTCAGAGGTCTTATAGTTTCAGTTTTTATCTCTATGAGGAGAGGGTGGGCAGAAGGAGTTGGGAGTAGTTACTTTATCCCACTAATGTATAGGAAAGCTGAAATCCTGAAAATGTGAAGTGTCTTGGTTGGGTTGTCCTAACTGGACAGAAGAAGACCTATGTGGAAATTCAGGCCAGAATCTCCCTAGTAATTTTTGCAGATGAATCATTTTATAGCCCAGAGAGGTGGCTTCTTTGTTTATTGCTTCTCCCACATGAAAATTAACTATGGAAGGGTTCATAAAGACAGCATTTATTGACAACTCTCTTTTTGTCGGCTCTAAAGTGATTGCTTCTTAAGGAACAGGCCAAATAGTATCAGTGTTGTACAAGCAAAAGGAATACCCAGATTATAAATTAAATTGATTTAACAAATAAGGATGCTTCTACACATGTAGTAAGTGAGTTGGCAAATATGCTCAAGAGGCAAGTTGAGTGCATTTTTGTGAAAGTGTGAGATTTTCTGTTAAGGAAATTTCACAGTCGAACCAAACTTTGATTACTAGGTGCATATAGGATTCAGGGTATTGACTATTAACCCTATAGTAGTTAATGTAAGTACGTTTGCTTGTTTTAGTCTTTTTAAGAAAAAAAAATTGTTTATGTTTGTTTATTTTTGACAGAGAGAGCAAGTGGGGTAGGGGCAGAGAGATTGGAGAGAGAGAGAACCCCAAGCAGGCTCTGCACCGTTAGCGCAGAGCCTGATGTGGGGCTTGATCTCACGAACCGTGAGATCATGACCTGAGCCGAAACCAAGAGTCGGGTGCTTAACTGACTGAGCCACCCAGACGCCCCTGTTTTAATTAGTCTTAATTGCACATTTCTGGAAAGTATTTTGTGTTCATTTCTCAAAAACAGGTTTTTAAATATTTCATAAGTGTTATTAAACTTCTGTTCCTTTTCTTCTGCTGTATGAGAAAAATTAATAGGATTGATGTGTCTCCATTTTTCTTTGATGATTAAGTTTTAGCCAGGCCAGTTTAATTTTAAGCTGTCGATATATTTTTGCTGTATTTACCGCCCTCTGTGGAATTAAATTAACAGGGTGTAGTTGTACACAAGGGAGTCAGAAGGTACAATTATCTATTTAAGTGCTATTTTCTGCAAGATTGTGTTTAACTTTTAAAATTCTGTTTTGAAAATTTGCCCAGCAAATGCATTCATCTGTATAATGTAGCAATCAAATGACAAACTTCAGTCTTCTGACCTGACTTTTAGCCACACTAGCAAATGCAGTCTTGGGTTAGTGTGACAGTGCCAAGAAAAACCAATTATTTGTGGTTATTTGGTGATACTTCAGTCTCATGGGGGAAGCACAGTATAGTCATTTTTTACTATTTTATAATAGCCTGTAAAAAATCTTTAACTTTTTCTGAAGGAGTAATTTTTATATGCTTTTTAAAGGTTCTGAAAACGGAATTGTGTTAACTTGCTTTCATTTGCAGTGTGTAACTGTTTACAGTTTCTATTAGGAAACGAAAGCAACAGACCCTTAGTCTGTCAGTGGTGCTGCCGAAACCAGAACCCAGGGCCACTGACGCCTCAGCCAGCATGTGCGGGTGCAGTCTGAGGGCCTTTGTAGAAAGTCGTGATACGACTTACAGGGCCGCCTAATGGAGACTTTTCCTTAAACCATTTCTTTAGTGTTATTCATTTTATAAACACATAATCATATGCTATTCAGGTACCCTTGGAGATTACATTTGGAGGTGAGGAAACACCGGGCACGCTATTACTGCCTCTCCTGGGTCACATAGGATGCAGCTGTCTTAATGCCCTCCCAGACTCCCTTTGGGATACCGTGCCGGTTGCCACTTTTTATTCCTTTGATGACTTCTCAAGTGCTCCTCTAGATTTTTCCTGCCTTAAGTTGATTGGCCCCAAACGAAGAGAGGTGTTGCACCCTTATTGGAGGGAGGCCATGTAGTTTAAAAGTGAAACACTAGAATGATCATTGGGAGATTGAGGTCCCTGCTCTGCCTGGAGGAGCTGGTCTCATAGTTGTTCTGCACCTCAGAAAAAGGAGGTTTGTCAGTATTTAGTGATTCCGATCGTACATCAGTTTTTTGGGGGAGTTTTTTGAACTACATCTTTTTTTTTTTTTTTCTATTTTGAGAGAGAGAGAGCCAGAGAAGGGGAGAGAGAGAAGACCAAGCAGGCTCCCTGCTCAGCACAGAGCCAGACATGGGGCTTGACCCCACAGCCATGAGATCATGACCTGAGCTGAAATGAACAGTTGGAAGCTTAACCAACTGAGGCACCCCAGCACCCCTGAACCACATCTTTATCCACAGCTGAAATTGGTCCAGTGTAACTGGTTCACAGCAGCTTTTAGCCTAGATCAGTGTTTCTCATCCTGAGCACAACTGACATTTTGGGCAGAATAATTCTTTGTTGTAAGAATTATTCTGTGCATTGTAGGATGTTGAACAGCATCTCTGGACTCAACCCACTAGATGACAATTATGCTTTACTAATTTTAACAGCCAAAAATGACTCCAGGGATTACCAAATGTCCCCTAGGTAACCAAATAACTCCCCATTGAGAACTGCTGGTCAAGATTATCTCCTAAGTGGAGTCACTTTGGAAGGAGAGGTTCTGGATTTTAATTCTGGCTTGCTCATTTTTTTTTCCCAGCGGTGTGACTTTTGGCAAGTTATTTAACCTCTGTGCTTTCATTTCCTAACTATAAAATGGGTTGATCATCTTTATGCAGGATGGTTGTGGGGCTGTATCCAAACCACCTGGCCAGCTGCCTCCCCAGCAGTTGGCTTCTAAAGGAGTTGGTAGCCGTCATTCTCTGTACATACCATGTGTTAATAGAACTTGTCCTTCTTCCTGGATCTAAAGTTCTTTTATCCATACTAGACTTTACTATGTTTTGATTTTTAATCCTTAATGAGCAGCAGCATTCTTATTCAGAGTTTTCCTAATATGATAGTAACGGCAACAGCTAGAGTCACACTTTTGGAATTGATTTGCAAACTATTGGGGGGAAATTATAACATACAATTAAGAAGAGATTAGATAAGTGTGGCTCAGCAAGGACTGGAGTTCACACAGAGATTCTAGGTAGACAGATCACATACTAGACTAAATACTGACCCAGTAAACCAACAAGAAAACCACCTGTATTGTTTCTTTCTTAAGTTTATTTATTTATTTTGAGAGAGAGAGAGAGTGAGAGAGCATGTGCATGTGCTCAAAAGCATGGCAGGGGCAGAGAGAGAAGGACAGAGAATCCTAAGCAGGCTCTTTGCTGACAGTGCAGAGCCTGACATGGGGATTGATCTCACCAACCACTGGGAGATCATGACCTGAACCAAAATCAAGAATCAGACGCTTAACCAGTGGCCACCCAGCTGCCCCCAAACTGTGATGGGGTGGAGCACTCATCAGCCTTGGTATTTTCTTTGGGGAAAAAAAAAAGAAAAAACTGTAGATTTTGTTGTCCTGTAAGTGTTTTTTGCCTTAGATTTTTTTTTTTAAACTTGGTAATTTTCATACCATTCCATGATACTGTCTTTCCTTCACTCTCAGAAATGCCTCTTGCATTATTCCTTTTTTTAAGCTTCATTTTTAGATTATAAATTATGCCTTTAGTGGAGAAAGGAAAATACCAACTTTTTTTTTTTTTTTAAGAGGGGAACATATTATTTCTTTTTGTTTTGTACTCCTTATTTAAAATTTTAATAGCTCTGGGGGCGCCTGGGCAGCTCAGTCGGTTAAGCATCTGACTTCGGCTCAGGTCATGATCTCGTGGTCGTGGGTTTGAGCCCCGCGTCAGGCTCTGTGCTGACAGCTCAGAGTCTGGACCCTGCTTTGGATTCTGTGTCTCCCTCTCTCTGCTCCTCCCCCACTCACACTCTTTCTCTCTCAAAAATAAATAAACATTAAAAAAATTAAAATTTTAATAGCTCTGATCTTTTTGTATTTATGATAAACTCTCTGAATCAAATTCTGCTTTAAAATATTAAAAAGATATTTTGTGTTGTCTTTAAACTGTTCTTTTTTTGCATCTGCTAATAATATGACAGAATCATCTGTCATGTACTAATTTTGTGAGCAGCCCTTTTATTCAGACTTGTTTATGGCCTCAAAATTCAATTAAAATTTTCCTATAAAAAGATAATGTAATTGTCAAGTGACTTTTCAACAGTATATGCTGTAAATTGTGGTGTTCTGTCTTGCTTTTTGATGCTGCTGAGATAGAAAACGTAAATGTTAATGCCTCTTTTTCATAGACAAATTATTGAAACTTTATATAACTAAAGATATGTGAGATTTTTTTCCAGAAAGATATTGAATAAAAGACAATAAATTTTTGCTTGTTTACTAAGCTATTTCTAATGTTGAAAAAGAAATGAAATAGTCCCTAATTACCTCATCTATCAGTTTAATTAGAAATGTGTTAATGTGTTCTATAAAGAAAAATTTGTGATTTTATGCCTAGGTAATCAAAAATGTATGACCTTATAAATATAATACTCATGTAAAACACACATCCGGCATGTTTCTCTGACTGGTACTAGAACCTAGTCAAATGATTAATTCATGAGTACTTTCTGTTATGATCTGTATTATCCACCATTTGCCATTTTCTCTTTCTTGTTGGTGTTTGTTGTTGTAGGTACCAGCAGACAGGTGTTAGGTGGCTGTGGGAATTGCACTGCCAGCAGGCAGGAGGAATTCTGGGAGATGAAATGGGATTGGGCAAGACCATCCAGATAATTGCCTTCTTGGCAGGTCTGAGCTACAGCAAGATCAGGACTCGTGGTTCAAATTACAGGCAAGTGCTCCTCTGCAGACTGTCAGTCTGTGGAGCTCAATTAATATTTCATCAGATGTATTGCTGTGGAGGAGGGTCTTGTGAATTATTGATGACATTTCAATTACAATATTCCTTTAATTCTTTTAGTGGGGGACATCAAAGGAAAATTTTTACGAGACAATGGAGCTGTAGGGCAGGAGAAATTAAACATGTAACACTTTTAATGAATTCCAGGCATTGATGCTTCATTTTGCAGATGAGCCCCACTAGATATTTTGGGTCAATACAGTGTCTAAGGTTAGCTTCTACAAATGGATTGTTTACAAACTCAATTATGTTAATATCGATAGTTTACACAATATGGAATTTTAAATTGGGCATAATACCTTTAGTTCCATTTATTAAATTTTACATTAAAATATTTTGTTCTGGCAGGAGACCAGGTGAGCATTACAGTAAGTGCAAAGTCTATTCATGGGGAAGGTTGGAGCTTTGGAGAAGCCATTCTGCCGAATTTCTTTTATAATCAGTATGCTCGATAGCATTTATAGATAGTGCTTTTTTTTTTTTTTTTACATGAAATTACTTGTCTGCTCACTCTGCTTTCTTCTCCCTCTCCTAATCTTCAAGATTTTTATATCAATTCTAAAGCCAAAGCCTAAATGACTGCCTAAAATGATAGAAAATTATGTTTAGATTGCAATCTTTATTTTCTTTAGGAATTGAAATGAACTATTAAAGCTTTGGTATTCTGAAAGAATAAGCATTTAAACTATCAGTTCAGTGTGTTGGGATTGAAGCATTTTATCTTGAAATACAGTGAGCATTTATTTCCATATTGAAGCTATAAATTGGCTCTATGTAAATCAGTATTGGTAAAACTAATAGTAGGTAAATCGTGTGGGTATTTATTCTTGAACCCAAATAATCTGAGAGCTCCTTGTATTTGAATAGGTTTATCTAATGGGTAACAATAGCAAGATATCTACCAAATGGTTATGTTGTAGAAACCTCAGACATTTACTAAATAGGGTTTGGAGATACCTTTAACATAGTGTCAATGTGCTTGAAGTCAGCAACTGCAGAAAGTTACTGTCCTGCACTCTGGTTTATCCCCAGAGAAATGTTTAGTAGGGAGCCAAATGCAAACCATAAACTATTGAGTAAAGAACTTTTTTTTTTTTTTTTAATCTTCAGTAGTGCTTTATTTTTCTTCGTTACTCTTCCATTAATTTAACAGATCAGCCTTCTCATGAGTGTTACTTAAAGTTTTAGAATATTTTAGGAATATTTATATGACATAAGAAAGGGAAAAAACATTTGGAGATTTAAAAATACTAAATATTTTGTTATTACATGGAGGTTATACTGAAGCAGAGGTTTTGCTTCCAATATTAGAATTCTATTACATATTTTGCTTGGAAAGGTGGAAAGATTCCAGCCCGAGGGAAAAATCATAGTTGAAAATGAACAGTTAGTGTGTTTTCTTCTCTATGAGTGTCAGTTTAGCATTTTAAAAAGTGCTTTCTGTGTTCTAAATAAGCGCTTTGATTGGCTTGGCTCTGCGTGTCTACATGGGTGTTTTTTTGTTTGTTTGTTTCTTTCTTTTTGGATAACTGGAATGCCCCAAGCTGCCCCTGATGGTTTCTAAGACTGTCTTTCTTTCCTTAAATGATATCTGGGATTTTCTTATTTCCCATCTCTTATCTTTCCTTCCCTTTCTATTATCATGAAACTTGTGTAGAGTCTGATATGCTGGGCCTAGGAAAACTCAGGTCATCCCTGCAGTGTAGTTTTGATCTAAAAATTAAAACTTGCTCTCTGGAGTGGTGGCAGTCTGACAAGGAGGGAAATCAGGGTTAACAGTGAGCAGCAGCTGTAATCACTTAACCATCAATGCCCATATCCTCTGTTTCATAATGAAATAGTGTGGCATGCTGGACTGTAGCCCAGATTGTCTTTATTAAAATAGTATTGGTAGAAGTGGCTTCCCAGGATGCAGTTGTGTATCACCCAAACCACCGGGCCCTTTATGGATAGAGGTGTACTGGGGAGCTTGGTCCCCTCCACTTCCATGTGCCAGACCAAATTGTATCACATTTTCCTCACAAGTTTATAACATGTCCACCTCTGTAACTAGATGAACTTGGAGTTCTTCTTTGTGCTTATGTCCTAAAGAAAAATAGACAAATGGTCACATGAAGTTCTGCATGAGCTGACATTGCTTCCTTGGCTATTTACATTTTCTCTGAACCCCTGCAAGCCGTAGACTTGGGGCCCTGACCTGAGATGGTCTTTGTGTTGCAATTTTATGGTCCATGATCATTAAAACAGTGTAAATCTCTGGGATGCCAAGAAGAAACTTGATGGTAAAGAAGTTCTTTTGGTTCTGTTTTTTAATGTATTTTGCATGTGTGTTTGGTTTTAAAAGAGGGAGTAGCTTATTACATGCAGTTGTAAAAATCTATCCCAGATCATCATGTATACATACTACCTTCTCTTCCCGGGGCTGTTCCTGTTATAATGATAGGCCCCCCGAATTTCATGATGGAGAGAAAATAAATTACTTACCTTTCAAACTTCAGTTAATAGAGTCTTGGATATCATTTAGTAATTTTCTAGTTACCAATAAGTGGCCTGAAAAAATTAATGAACTTCCAAAGGTAAATATTTTTGTAATTCCTGGTAAGTTCTAACCAATGTATAGCAGATTTCCATCCTGCAGGTTGAAGTATTTGACTGTTGGAGCTATTGCCTTGCCCTAAACTCATTAGATAATCAATGATAATCAAAGATGAAAGAAATTTTAGCCAGTTTGGTAATTGATGCTAATCATTCTAGTACATTTAGCCTTTTCTTATGCTCATCTCACTGGTATTGAGGATTGGAAAAGGGTGATTCAGTTGATGTGACTGTTAATGGATTTGATTGACCCTTCTGTGGTTCAGGAACAATCTAGGTCTGTTCCTAGATTTCCACTCAATGTGAAAATCTTCATAGTCTTCTAATAGAGGGAAAATGGCAGAAATTAAAGGGTATAGTAATGCCAGATAGATGATTAGCTAGAATAAAATATTGGCCTTAAATGACAAAGTGTGAGTCATCAATGTAGCCGTTTGCAGAAAGCATGTGATAAAAAGAAAAAATGCTGTATAACTGAATACAGTGTGTATGTATATTCATGCTTACTTGAAAGTGAGTTTGTGAATATTTTAAAGAGGTTTTGGTTGGTTGTTTCCTAATCCCTGCTAAGTGCATATTGATGATAACTCTTGTTCCCCTTGGAGGATGTAAAGAAGCTGGTGCATTTAATCCTTTTAGAAAGGAATGTAGCCATGGAAGAGGCCAGAGCAAAGTCATGCCCTCCCCAGGGAGCTTGAGGTCCTGCATGGGACCTGCCCTTAGTGAGGAGCAGATTCTGGCTTGGGAATTCAGTGAGAAGTGTCAGTCTGTTGTAGCCTCTGACTTCTTGAGACCTTAATATGGAGCAGAGGGGCAGAGACAGTGACTGTAGCTGAAGGGTGAGAGGATTTAGAAGTGGGTGGAGGCATTTTGTCACATTGGAATATAAGGGTAAGCCTCATTTTGGTTATGGCTTGTTTTCTATTAGGTATTTTTGAGTTGTGCAGAAGATTATTTTTAATACATCAAGCACTGTGTGATTTATTCTGAGTAACCTACAAAAAATTTTTTTTAAGCTCAGGAATTATTTACTGAGCTGTAGCAAGAAAATAAAAATTACATGATTCCCTAACTCAGAAATCATCTCTTTTAACATTTCAGTATATTTTCTAACAACGTTTAAGAAAATGTTTTCATTTAAAAAGGCCAATATACATTATCTCCTGTGGTCTGGGCATTGAGATCATTTGAAGAAAAGGCCATTCCTACCCTCAAGGAGCTTAGGAAAGATCTAATACACATTTACGATAAGAGTGATATGTGTCACGGTAGGGTTAGTATGGGGTCCTGTCTAGTGTGGATATACCATAGAAGGATCCTTAACCTATCTGGAGGGAAAGAGGAAGACCCTGGAGAAGCTCAAGAGCTAAAGCACAAGTAGATGGCAGTTAAGAGGGTAAGAGGGGACAAGGGGAAGGTTGAGAGATCAGAGGAGTATGTACTTCGTAGAAACTGAAGACAGCACTGGCAGGTGGAGTGCTGAACCACAGAGGCAGATGTTGGGATGGGGGCAGTGAGAGAGGTGAGGCTGAAGAGGTGAGCAGAGGTCAGATCCTTGTGGTCTCATAGGCCAGCTTAAGGTGTGTAGATTATTCAAGCGCAGTGGGCAAACATTGAAGGCTTTCAAGCAAAGGGATGAGACATTCAGATTTTGCCTTTCTGAAATGACTGTGCTAAAAAGTGTAGTAACCTAGGTAAGAGGTGATAGTAGCCAGAACTGGAGCATTAACAGTGTAGATGGAGAGAAGGGTGCCTTTCAGAGGGATTTAGGAGGTAGACATGGCATGAAGTCAGCATAGGTTGGGTATGGTAGAGAACAAGAGGGACAGATCAGTGAGGAAGCGTGCATTTCTAATTCGGATACCTGGACAGTGGGTGACAGTTCTTTCCATTGGGTTTGGAAACATGGGAGGAGGGCGAGGTAGAGAAGAATGATGTGTGGTGCTGTGGGGACATCTAAGTCAGCCAGCAATTAGACATTCAAGAGTATGGTACTTTGCAGTTCAGGAAAGAGATCTGAGGTGGGGACCTAGATTTGAGGGCATCAGTGTAAAGGGAGAAATTACAACTATGGGAATTAATGAGGTAGCTTGGGGAAAGCATATGCAGTGTGCATCTAGCATCAGATATTCAGCATCCTTTTGGGGCAGAAAAAGGTGGGGGAGGGGGAGAGTGGTAGTGAATCTGCCCCAGAATGAGTGAGAGGTAAGGACAGGCAAAGGGATTGGTCAGACAAAAAAGGGATACTTTTTCCACTGTAACAGGGGGAAAGGGCAGGATGGTACACATGCAGTGAGTTACTTGTGGTGTGCAGTGTATCAGGATATTTTTACTGCCAGTAAGGGAAACCTTATGTCGAGTCGATGTTCACAGTATGTGTAGTATACCTAAGAACCTATGGAGGAGGTGGGCAGTGGACACAGTATGATCAGCAGCTCAGTGATGTGATCAGGGACCCAGGGACTTCAGTTTTCTCCTATGGCCAGTTCTTAGTCATCAGGTTTCCTTGCACTGTAACCCAACTGCCCATCAGCCATTGGTAGGAGCACCCAAAAGAGCAAACTCTGCCGCAGCCTAGAATGGAAGTCCGTCCTTACCCTGAGTGAACCAGGCTTGCCAGGCCCTGAGTGGAAGAGTGAGCATCACCAGGGGGTACTGTGTGCTGACTGCTGTGCGTGAACCAGGGTTCCTGCTTTTCCCCTCTCGCCTCAGCCAGGCAGTCGTCAGTCCCATCAAGTACATGTGTGGGAAGGAAGAGAGGATACCTAACAAAATGGTGGTTCTGTTAGGAAGGAGAGAGGAGAGATGGATGTTGAGATAGTGGCCACCAGGACCAATCTACCGGCTCTCCGTGTGTAAGTGAGATGGGATGATTCCATAATTTGGTTTTTTAAAAGACTTCTTATGAGTATTATTCCAGCTTTTTAAATATTCTTCAAAAATGATTTTAATGGTTATATGATATTCAATGTTATTTAACAAGCTTGTAATATTTGCTATCTGGCCCTGTTGTGAGCATTTTACAGGTGTTAACTGATTTAATCTTTATATAACCCTATATGATCAGTACTATTATTATTCCCATTTTAAGATGTGAAAGCTGAGGTTCAAAGAGGTTAAGTTGATGTGCCCAGGATCTTGCACTTTATGTGTGCAAGAGCACACATATGTGTGCAGAGCTGGAGTCCAGACCCACTGGCTTGTGCTGAATTAAAGAAATGGGATGGTTTGTTCAGTCGTTGTCTTTATGGACGTTTAGGTAGCACTCACTTTTTCCACATTGTAAATATGCTACGGTGCGTATCCTGGTACATAAATGTTTCTTCAGGATTGCTGGGTCAGTGGGTGACTGTCGTTAAGCCTCTTGCCACGTAGTGCTCTGTTGCTCTGTGAGAACAGCGCAGCTGTGCTCGTGGCATGGGCTTTCCAGTGGAAGCGGTCACTGTGGTGCCCTCCAGAGAAGCGAGCAGCACCACGCAGTGAAGGCAGGCTGTGGTGGGCAAAGACTGGCTCTAGGCCTTGCGGCGTCTGCTGGTAACCATGTTGCCTCAGGCGTGCCGGCCTCCAGAGCCCCGGAACACTGCAGCATTCCTGTCCTGCTTACTTTCTAGGGCTGTGCAGTTGATTGAAATTGTGTGAGTGAAAACTCTTCGTAGGCTGTAAAGCTTCAAACAGAAGATTCTCTTTGGTTTGAAGAAACCTGTAATATTTTCCCTTATCTGGAGAAGAGGAAAGGAAAGTATTTTTGTTATGTAATTTTTGTTCAATTTCCATTTACTTTACTCTAGATTTCACTTACTGGGTTTTAACCTCAATAGCTTTTTCTTTAAAGAAAAAATAAATTTCCATAGCTAGACTCTTCTTTTTTAAACTGTTAGCTTTCTACTTGTTTCCTTTTTTGTTTTTTAGTGCTTAATCACCCATATGCTGTCATTCATGGTTGTGTTTTCTTCTTGGATGTTTTGGGTGCAGGTTCAAGGGGTTGGGTCCGACTATAATTGTCTGTCCAACGACAGTGATGCATCAGTGGGTGAAGGAATTTCACACGTGGTGGCCTCCATTCAGAGTGGCAATTCTGCATGAAACTGGCTCTTACACTCACAAAAAGGTAACACTATAATACTTCAGTACCTTATGGTTTGCTTGGTTTTAAAGTCTTCCATTTTACATATTTGTTTTCCCTCTGATGCCTATATTTCTCACATGTATGTTCGTATTTCTTTTCTGCATTAATCTTATTGTCACTGATTTAATTTAGATCTCTGTATTTTCAAAACAATTAGGAATGTAAGCTTTATCATTCTAACAGTTCATAGTGGTGTTGAGACATGTTTGTTGTCCAGCAAAATACAACTGGTCACAGACAGGGCACCACAAGCCTATTAGCATGAGTGGGACCGTACATCGGGGCTTACATAACAGTCAGCCAGCTGGATTTGGGGCATTAGTGGCCTTACACAGTTTAAGGAAAGAGTAATAGAACACCTCATTGGTAAATGCATTTAACGTGCTTTTAAATATATTCTTAGTGACGAAAGAACAATCTTCCTTTTTGCGAATTTCCTAATTTGTTTTGTTGCTTTTTAGTTAAGTTGCTTTTTTGGTCTCTGAATTCTTGGTCATCATGTAAGCATAACCACTGGATTTTGAAAGTTGAATTTCTTCACTTATTTGTAGTTTTAGTCACATTAAAAAGGAAGTTTACCTGTGCTCCAGTGGGTAGCATAGAGAGGTTGTATTATACTTTTAAATTCTCATCTCTGACCATCCAGACTCTGCCTAAATGAATAATTACCCTTCTTTGCTGTGGGTTTGCAGGTTACATTATTGACGGGAAGTGGCGGTTTGTTATGAGTTCTTTCTTTCCCAAGTCTTTGGGGCTCTTGAGTGAGCTCTTGTGTTCCCCCCACAAGAGCAGCGTACCTGAAAGAGCTACTGAATGTTTGCTTCACTGAGGTGGATGCATGTGAGCCACTAAACTCCACTTTCCGCGGGTTCACCCAGTACCCCTTTCCTCCCAGAGTCCCATTTTGTTCATGATCGTGAGTAAGTGGAACTTTTGATAGAAGTGAATAAGGACTGTTTATAATTTGGTAGCTCAAGGTTGGTGAGATGGAATCTTGCTTATAGTAGCTGCTGTTAAAATCAGTCGACTTTGCCCTGAATTTTAAGTGATGGTAACAAACTGAATTAAAATAATTAATGAAGTAGGGTTAATGCTGTGATCAAAACAAAACAAAAAAAAATCCAGTGATTTTTAACAGCATGAAAATAACAGTTCAGATTGTTCTTTCTAGTCAAACTAAATTGTAACTATCTTTCCGTCAACCCTGTAAAACATTTTTGATGCCTTTTTTCACTTGTCTGTCTATTGATGTTTCTTAATGTTTTATGTTGCAAACTCTTGCAGCAGGATTCATTAGTTGATGCTTCTCTTTAAGAGGTACACTTTTCATATGTTCCTCTTCAACCTTTTCTTTTCTTTTGGGATACTGAAGGGCATTTATTCACTTTCACCGTATATCGTGGCTTACCTGCATTTCCTCTTTTATTTTAAACTGAAGAACTGTCTTCATGTAAGTGTAAGGTCTCTGTTGGTGCAACTTGCTTCCTTGTTTGGAGGGCAGAACTTTAAAGAATAGATATTTCACTTTTGTTTACAGTGGTTTCATCTTCTGAGGTCGTTTTGCACACACAGACACCTGCATACATATGAGTGTTCATAATTTTTTCAGTGCTTTACCATTTACCAAGGACCTTAACCTGAAGTTTCTTATTTAACTTTTGAGGAAAAGCTGTAGACTTGTGTTTTTCCTCTGACCCTTAATTAACTCTACCATTTCTTTTCCATTATGAAGTATTCCAGATCTCTAAAGATGTAAGTTGTTATGCAAAAGATAAAAAAGATGTTCATTTGCATCTTACAGACTAGTCTTAGAAACACAATCAGTTTATTACTCATTATTGTTAGTATCAGTTTGTTATTTGTGATGAGGACACATTGAAAATACTTTAAATCCTTTGCACAGACCTTGTTACTAACACTTCCTGAGATCAGAACTCCAGCTGTTGGATTCAAACACCAAAGTGACATTTGATACCTTTGCCCCTTCCTTTTATATTTATGTGTGAAGATCTTTGTCACCACCCCACGCATTCCTGTTGGCTTACAGATAATGTGTTACATTGCAGTACAGTTTATGTTTTTTAATCATATTTCAAATATTCTGTCATTGCTAGTCTGACGTCTAACCCAGCATGTAATGCCTAACTTACTTTCTGTCCTTATCAGCTGAGATTCTTTTTCTCCATGGTGGGGCTTTCTGTGTCCAGTAGCTGTCCCATCTAAATGTGATAATGGTGCTCTGGCATAGGGACATTCAGTGATAGAGAAAATACAGAAGAGAAATTCTCTTTAGAAAACTTAAAAGTAATAATTCAAGAATTGTTCTCCTTATTCAAGTAGATTGTCTTGATTTTCCTAATGATTTGTTGTAGCTGATACGGTGTAAAAATTTAAAAACTAGAAAAAAATTTCATTTAGAGAACAGACATCAAGTGATCAAACCATTTCTGAATGGAACACATCTATCATTCTTCTTCCTTACATTGCCTTGTAGCTTCCCACCTCTCTCACCATGTGACCCTATATTATCTTTGTTACTATTGTATTTGATTGACAGCGTAATTTAGAATTATCAAGTGCAAACCCAGGAGCCATGCAAAAATATATGTGGCTAATATTTCAGCCAAACAATCAAATCAGATAAAGACATTTTCAGTCTTCTGAATCATCTTTAATGGTCAATTGAAATCTCATCTAATAGGAATCTAAGATTTTCCATTTCTCATTATGTTTCATGATCCCTTTTTTCTAACATAGAGAAACTTGATATGAGTCAATTAGCATACATTTGTTGAATAACTATAAACATGATATTGTACGTATTTGATGCTGTTAGGGCTCCAAAAAATGGCTGTGATGTTTTTAACTGACCTTGAAAAGCTAACCATTTTCTTGGGGAAAGAAAATATATGAAAAGATAATAAAAGAAGGCAGTTTTGTGATACTTCTCACATAATTCACAGTGGGTGGTGGCGTCTTTAGCACTGTTATGAAGTTTAATTATTAAGGACCCTTTTTTCAATTTGTTGGAAGATACATAATGAGAAATTTCATGCTTATATTCTGAAACAGTTGTCACTTTGTCTCTCCTACCTTTTCCTGCTATGTAGGATATAGTAATTATGTGGAATATTTTCGATAATTCAAAGAGTTTAATCTCACTTTGACAAATTTGTGGCACTTAGAGGCAGAAGAGTGGGAAATGCAACAATAGCTTAAAGGCTCCAAAGCACACATTTTGTCATTACCAGACTAGGGTTCCAATCTTGGATTTGCCGTTTGATAGCTTTGTGACCTTGGGCAAGTCATTTAGCTTCTCTGAGCCTAGTTTGATGTCCTGAAAAATGAGTATTTTTTGCTAATTTTGTGAAGAGTTATTGGGGTAATAGATGTACACAAAAGCTTAGTGTTTTCCTTGGCATGTAACTCAGTTAATTCTTACTGTTAGAAACAAAGAATGTTGTAGACTCCTTCTTCTCAGTAGTCAAGAAAAGATGCTCTGATGTTTCTGACTGATTGAGTATAAATACATTCTAGATAGAAGGTTCACACTTGCTTTATCAAACACGTTCGTGGGCATTCACTTCTAGACCTTTTTTTCTCACATCCAGATACGTTTGGCCCCAAATGGAAACAATGAAATAGCATGTTGAAATTCTTTTTGCAAAATGCAAGGTACGATTAAAGAACAAACCACAGGAAAACGTGGCTGTTTGATGAAACTGCCATCACGTGTTCTTTAAAAAAAGGCCTGTTTTCTGGAATGCTAGGAGTCAAAAGACTTGGCTTTTTAACGAGCTGGAAGGGAGTCAAGTAGAGACATACCAGATAAAAGTAGAAAAGGACCACATGGTCCCTCAAGCATCCTAAATATTTCAGACCCATTCCAAGTACACAAATTATAACACAAAGTGATGTAATTCCTATTAACTTTAGAGACAGTGTATACACCTGATACAAGAAATGATAGATGCTATGCTTGTTCTGTGAAGTATATTGTAAAATTATGTTGCTGGAGCCCTTTTTTCTTCATTGTCAGCACAAATCCTTGTTTATTAAAGATTTAGCTTGAAGGAAATTTTAATTAATTACAGGTGCAGTAAATCCTGCCCGGGAAGCTGCCGTGCTGTGTTTACCGTGAATGGCCTTCATGTGCCTGTGCTCCACTCCGCTCTCCCCGCTGCCTGACAGTGTGATTTATGGCTGTTGTTTTCTACCAGTCCACTGTTTGCCCTCTAGGAGGGATTGGTCTCCTGAGCCTCCATAATAACAGCAGCACTTCCACAGACATCTTTTAATGACAACAGCACTGCATTCAGTAAGTCAGGCTAATTGCAGATGTACCCTATTAATTGCAAAAACTAGGAGAGGTTACATATTTTACAAGCTTTTAATTTGAAACCGCCCGAGATGATTTGTCTTAAGTGTTTGGATAGAGACGTCCATAATATTCAACAATTCACCATTATTGAAACTCCAGTCTAGGCAGTTATAGAATTCTGAGATTGAATCAGGTGAAAACAAATAATCTTAGATGGTGTTTTTACCCAGTGGCTGTTAAGTGGAGGTTATATTTTCAATAGGGATATTTTTTAAAAAAGATTCTTACTCTTTTTATAAAAGTGTCCTTTTGATTCTTAATCACTGTCATATATCTTCTGAATATGGTAGAAATTCTGTATTTCTATAGCTTAACATTACAGAATTTTCCAAATAAACTTTGATCCTTATACCTGCAAAAGAAGCTGAACACGGTTCCACTGGTGTGTATTTGACGGGCTTGGCATCTCATTTGTTTAACTCTGTTGAAGTGATGTCCAGAATCCAGTTTGGAGCAGTATTCCTGGGGGGTTAATGGAATGACCATCCTGAATCTAACAGGAGTTTCAGGGTCATGAGCAAGTAGGCCTACATTTGCGGGGTTTGGCTACAATGCAGTGGATGTTTTATAAACGTGAGTGGTAATTTGACTTGTGTTGTTTTTGAAGCCCCAAACATTTGTACTTGTTTTCACCCGCCTCTTCTCTCTATGTATACACAGAGCTCCAGGTCTAGAGGAGAAATTAAGCACTCATGTTCTGTATTTCAGTTTGCTATCTTCCTGGGTCCTACCTGCTTCATGACTTTGAGCAGCCACTGCTCTCCTGGAGGGGAAAATGGGGGTAGAGTTGTGGTAGCTGCCTGTCCACAGTCGCAGGGGAAAATTTAGATGCAGAGGAATTATTAACATCTACTTGGGCTTCAAAAAATCGCAGGACTGACGGGATGAGGTGTTTGAGGTAGAGTAGTGCTTCTTTGGACAGCCTGCTTTTCTTCATGGGCGCTATTGGTAGCTGTGGTGGGGCCAGTGGCATTGGAATAGCAGCGTCGTAAGGGCAAAGTGGAGGGAGGTGAGTCCCAGGAGAACCTATATGTGTGTTTGTAAAGCTGTGAGCCCTGAGGTTTTTACTGTACATTCATCATAAGGTACAAAGTTGGGAAATGGTTAATCACGTGTGGTCTTCAGTGTAGTACTGTGCAGGCATTGAAAATTGGGAATAGGGGGATGGCAGAGTAGTAGTCATAATAATAATAATAATAATGATAATAATGATAATAATGATAATAATGATAATGATAATACAGATCTCCCGTCGAACCTTTAACATACCAGATATCCTAATTATCCTCTAAGGCAGTTTTATTAACTTGGAAGTTTTGAGTGTGTTATGACATGAGAAGGTCATTTCTCCCACTTTATATTTCTCTTTCAAAATTCTTTGGCTCCTATTGTACCCTTTTATACTCTATTGAATTGAAAAATATTCCAATCCTAGTTTATTAACGTAATATTAAAGTCATTTTTGAAGATGTTGAGTTTTACAAAATTTGTATAATTGTGATTACATGAATTATTACATCAGGTTTCCGAATATTTCGCTCTTGTATTCCTGTGATGAGCCTTATTAGGTTAATATACTACTAGATTTTATTTATAAAGTAATGGATCTCTAGTAGGGAGTGCACACACATGTGTGTTGTGTCTATTAGTTTTGAAAACAAGGTTTTACTAGTCTTACAGTAATGAATTGAAATGCGTCCTGTCTTTTCCTGCTTTTTGGAACAGTTTAAACAACAGGATGGATTCTTACTTTACTCATGAAACCCTTTGGGTCTGGTTGACTTTTGGTGAGAAGAGCATACCATCTTTTTCAAGTTCTTCAGTAATTGGTCTGATCGGTTTGTCTCATTTTTCTTGGGTCCATTTTGGTACTTTATGTTTTTAATAGTCATCTTCTTTCTGTCAAAGTGTTCAGGGTTTTGGCATTAGCTCACCAGTGGTGTTGGTGAGAATACGTATTTGTGTATTGTCTACATCTGGGTTGTGTTCCTTTGACATTTCTCATGCTGTGCATCTGAGTCTGCTTTCTGGGCTGAGTTTACAGAGGTTTGTCTGGTCTTTTCAGTGAGCTGTTTCGATTTTTTACTTTTTTAGTTCTACCAGGGTTTTTATTATTTTTTTTTTTAATGTCCACTAATTTTTGTTTTTATCGTGTTCTCTCATTTTCCTTTTTTAGCAGATTGCATTGACTGCTTAGTTTGATTTCTGCCTCAGTGGCACGTAAAGAACGAGTGTTCTCTGTGTGGTCAAAAGCTCCGCGGATAGCTATTACAAGGAGCTCATGGAGAGTGCACATCAGAACATTTGTATCTTAATTTTTGACCTTTTGTTTTCTTTAATCTTACTTTCTCTCTTCTGACCTGTCAAAAACTCTGGGAGGCTGTGGTCGGTTGTCCTGCAGGCTGTGGATGTACTGTTTCGTCAGTGCAGCTCTGAGTGCTTGTGCTCGTGGGTTGTTGTAGGGCTTTTTGGTAGACAGGTGCCTGGCCATGCCTGGCTCCTCTTCCTTGGTGTGTTATCTCCTTTAAAATATCAAATGCCCCTCTTTTTTTCTGGTCAGTTCCTTTTGTCTGATACTTGTATTTCTAGATCTGCCCTGTTTCTGTTTGCATTTCTTGGGTAATTCCCATATTTTCAACTTTCAGTGCCAGTCTAGTTTGGGTCTAAGGGTTTGGCTGTGTGTATCCACCCATTGAAAAGTCTCTCTGCTAATGACCTGCTATCGTTGTGGAGACCCCTGGTACATTTAGTCTGAAACCAGCTATTGTATTTTTTGTGTTCTATTTTCCAGACTTTTCCCCCTATTTTCTCTTACCTTTCCCCCTTGATAATTCTACAGTCTGTTTCTTTTCTAGTATTTGTGTTGAAGTAGCAACTGTGGATCAGTAGGTGGGCTTGTTTTTTACAAATGTAAATCCAACCTATTTTTCTTTCACAATTAAGAACCACACAGTGTGTGTCACCTGTGCCCCTTTCTGTCCTTAGGGTGGCATTTTTAGTACACTTTTATTTTCTCCGGTACACACTCTAGGTTTTGTTAAACCAAACAGGAATTACAGTGACACTGAAAAATATATCCCTTTTTGTGTTTTAGATTTATTCTGAACAGTTTCATTAGCATTTAAAACAATGCTTTCATATTCACCTACTGTTTTAACATAGGTTTCCCCACTACCCAAAAGTAGAGCGTTCCCATAAAACCTTTCATACACTGAAGTGGCATGAAGTGAAGAAGCCCTTGCCATTAATTTATATGGAAAAACGAGCATCCCCAGACCGCAAAAATAACCTCTCTAAGGCTTTTCTGATACTTTACGACACATCTTGCTAACATGCACAAAACAAGTCAAGATACAGCACCAAACACATATGGACCCGCTTCCAAGCACGGCAGCTTACTGCCAAGATGCTGAGTGTAGTTCCTGGAGAAGGAGCCTGGTGGCGCCACTCTAGTTGCTGGGGTGCATAATGCTTCTAGAATGGCTCCCTGCTAAACAAACACTGAACACTAATTTTGCTTTTCACCTTTTCTCATAAAAGCGAAATCCTCTTTGGATTTCCGTTGGTTGGCAAAAACAAGATACTAATATAGGTCTTTCCTAAAAGTGAAGTGGCTAGTTTGAAGCAGAGGATACCTGTTATTTATATTGAGAACTGGTATATATATATTACATGTAATTTTCCCTTAAATTTTTTTTTCTTTTACAGTTAAGTATGAGGCAGCATTGCCTAATACTTAGTTAATACTAGCTTTGGAGTTGGCTGCCTTTATACTTTCAAATCGTGACTCCTCCACTTACCAGCTGTGTGACCTGGTCTGTTACTGGTTTCCTCATCTGTAAAACAGGGGTTAGTAATAGGACCTCTGTCCTTTTTCAGAGAGTTGCTGCAAGTGCTCTGTGTGTGATGAGCATTTCGGTTCAGGGAGCTCTGCTGTCGCCGTTCTGCAGAGTGCTGTGTGTTCTAGACACACTTTCTTCTGCTCTTGGAAAGGTACCATGTTCTTTGGTGCAGTCACCTCTCACTGGCTGGATATATAACATACCCTACCTAATCTGTCTCTAGTTTGTTTTCTGTTTCTGCCTGTCTGAAGGTGAATTTATTGTTTCTCTCAGGCATGACTGCTAGTCTGGATCAATGCAGAATTCCAGGGTCAAAGCCTTCCCCCTACAATTATGGAAAGATTGTCCCTTTGCTACCTTAAAAAAAAAACCATTGCTTTTATGTCCTTTTCTACTCTCTTCTCTCGGATTTCATGTTTTATACTGGTAGAGCTCCTGGATTTGTCTTGTCTCCTTGGTTTTTCTCTCATTTTCTTTTTCTGGTTTTAAAATAATCACTTCCCATCTCCTTGTTGATTTAAATTTAACAAGGATTGGGGCGCCTGGGTGGTGCAGTCGGTTAAGCGTCCGACTTCAGCCAGGTCACGATCTCGCGGTCCGTGAGTTCGAGCCCCGCGTCAGGCTCTGGGCTGATGGCTTGGAGCCTGGAGCCTGTTTCCGATTCTGTGTCTCCCTCTCTCTCTGCCCCTCCCCCGTTCATGCTCTGTCTCTCTCTGTCCCAAAAATAAATAAAAACGTTGAAAAAAAAAATTTAAATTTAACAAGGATTGACACAGAAGGATATTTTAGAAAAATAAAAATTGGGTAAGGGTTTACATATTATAACTTTTTCTAGTCTTCTTTTGAGGCTCCCCCGCTTAATAGTAGATATGGCAGTCTGTGTGTACCACTTACAGATTAATGAAACATAAAGTAAACTTCCAGTGCTAATAATGTATAATTGTGTATATTATGTTTGTATACATATTTTAAAAGTGCATTAGATTATATCATGATTGAAAGGTTGCCACTTAAAGAGTAACACTCATTTAACTTATTTAAATGAGCTTATTTAAAACTGGCTTTTCCATTTCATATTTTAGGAGAAACTAATTCGAGATATTGCTCATTGTCATGGCATTTTGATCACTTCTTACTCCTACATTCGGCTGATGCAAGATGACATTAGCAGGCATGACTGGCACTATGTGATATTGGATGAGGGGCACAAAATTCGAAATCCAAATGCTGCTGTCACCCTTGCTTGCAAACAGGTATGACTTTTTATAACTGGGGGATTTCCAGGTGAAAAATAGTGTTTAATTGAGAGTAACACACTTAGGGGCTTTGCATAAAGGATTTGAAATACACATTTTGCTTTAATGCAGAAAATTCTTTATTCTTGCCCATTATCATATTTTTAAAAATTCTAATTGTTCATATTACTAAATGTCTCTTTTAGGGGTCATTTGTTAAGATGTAACCAAACCTGACTCTGATCTGTAGTATTCAGCTTGAACAATAAGAAAAATTCTTCCCTATTTATTTACATGTAATTGAAGAATTAAAATTGCATAAAGTGTCCATGTTTTGGAGATGACTAAAATGATATGTAAAAGTGTTACAATTTAACAGGATTGCATGGGAGGATTTTGGGGTTGGGATGGTAGTCATCCCTTGGAAAGTGAATTTAATAAAAAAGTGTTTTCTTTCCCGAAATAGTTCCGCACCCCTCATCGCATCATCTTGTCCGGCTCACCGATGCAAAATAACCTCCGGGAGCTGTGGTCGCTCTTTGACTTCATCTTCCCAGGAAAGTTAGGCACGTTGCCTGTGTTCATGGAGCAGTTCTCGGTTCCTATCACCATGGGGGGATATTCAAATGCCTCCCCAGTACAGGTAATGTATTGGGCAGGTAACACTTCAGGCATTTTAATATTTAAATGTGCCTACTAAGTACTATACTTTGTAGCCAAGTCATTCATAATATAAGGGAAATGGCCAAGCTTATAAACCAGTATCTGCCAAAAATCGCAAAATCATTTGTGCTTGATAGCATATATTTTTCCAGATGAGTTTTAAAAACTCATGTAAAGTATTCAGGAGCAGTCAGAATTATGAAACAAGGATGAATCAGTTCTGGACAGTATATAATTTAGTACATCTGACAAGGTAGTGTAAAAGCTTAGAAAAGGGGAAGCCAGGGAGGATTGAGTTGTTCAGAGAGGACTTAATGCAACACTCAAGTGACCCTTAACCTGATTCTGGGAAAACAGGCTAAGAAAAGTGAGAGCACTCTATTTATTTATTTATTTATTTATTTATTTATTTATTTAATATAATTTATTGTCAAGTTGGCTAACATAGAGTATATACAGTGTGCTCTTGGTTTTGGGGGTAGATTCCTGTGTTTATCACTTACATACAACAACCAGTGCTCATCCCAATAAGTGCCCTCGTCAGTGCCCATCACCCATTTTCCCCTCTCCCCTGCTTCCCCCCCCCCCCCCCCCGCCAATCAACCCTCAGTTTGTTCTCTGTATTTAAGAGTTTCGTATGGTTTGCCTCCCTCTAAGAAGAGCGAGGGCATTCTAGATTAGGGCAGCAATATGAATGCAGCCACGTTATATGGCCACGGGCAGTGAAGAGACATGCCTGATTGCACTGGAGATGCTTGTGAGATATATCACAGGGAAGGTGCGGATGCCAGAAATGGGGGCCTTGAAAGGGATGCAGGCAGAGGTGCTCAGGCAGCAAAGAGCCACAGAAGGTATCCAAGTAGGAGGCTGAAAGGAGGTTGCTCTCGGAGAGTCACCCAGGCTGCAGATGGTTGTGGGAGGGAGGCTGGCTTTGAGGGACCCTCAGGAATCGTTAGGAGTGAGGGTGATGAGGACCTGGGCCTGGACTTGGGCAGTGGTTCTTAGGAGGAAGGTGAAGAGCAAAAGCTCTAAGTGGCATCTTTGTAGGCAGAAGAAACAAGATGTGGGGGCCGACAAGATAAAGGAAATGGAGCGGACGTGGTGAGCTTGCTGCAGCAGACCCTGAGGTTTTAGGTCTGGGTGACTGGGAAAAGGGAGTTGCTCCGAGAGGAATGTCAGGAGGCTGACCTGAGGGCAGTTTGTGGCACTTGGAGGCAGCTTCAGCCTCGGTGAGGAGCAGGGTCTCTGCACAGACCTCCTGCGGGACTTGTACCTGCCAGGTCATGACTGACCCAGAAATAAAGCCATCCACCAAAAGAGACATTTACGTGTTTTAAAATATTTAGAGAAAGAATTTTAGCCCTTTAAAATTAGAGGATTGTTAAAACCATTTTAATACCTTTTACATTTTGAGATGGAATGACTTATAACTAACTTTTATAAGAGTCTTCTTCCTCCACTGAGTTCTTGTTGTCCATCATTTATACCATTCCCTTAACAAATTTTTACTTTGAAATAATTTCAAACTTAACAGAAAGTTGCAAGAATTGTAAAAAGAACTGTTACACTCTTCACTAGATTCACCACTTGTTAGCATTTGCTGACATTTTGCCACCTTTGTTAGGTCTTTCCTTCTCTCTCTCTCCCCCATCTCTCTGTACATGTGCATGCAAATTTATACTGATTTGTGTGAATCATCTGAGAGCAAGTTGCAGACATTATGCCCTTTTCCTCCAGATCCTTCAGGGTGTATTTCCTAAGAACATAGCCACAGTAAAAACATCAAAATCAGAAGGAAATTCAACACTGGTATAATTCTGAAGTGTAGTCATTCACATGTTGCCAGTTGTTCCAGTACTTTCCCTGCTTAGTCCTCCTTTAATCTGCAAAAGTTCCTCTGTTTTTGTTGTGCCTTTCATGACTTTGATAATTTTAAAGACTATAGGCCTGTTGTTTTGTAGAAAGTGCCTCACTTTGGGTTTGTCTCACATTCTCTGTGACTTGCGTTTCTCAGTTCTTCACATCTGGAGGCTCATGCTGTTGGCCTGTCGCTTCATTGGTGGTGGTTGTAGTTGGTGGTGGTGGGTAAGGTGGGTATTTACCAGATCTCTAAACTCTTTGAAGTTAACCACTTCCTTCGGAATTAATAAATCACTTATGGGGAGCGACTTTGAGACCTGTAAACATGGTCTTGTTTCTTCTTTGAAGGCCTTGTTTCAGAAGTTTGTGTACTTCTCTTTTTTTCTCTTTTTTGGCTATGAGGTCCTTGGGAGCAGAGGTGTTGTTTTTACATTTGCTTTTATATGTCCATGGTTGCCATCAATTACTGAATCCCAAGAAGATAGTCTGTCAGCAGATAATTTATTGTGTTAGGCTGGGGCTAAAATGATGAGAAGTGGCTGGCAACGAGAACCTTACCTTGAATAGTATCCACTCCAGTGGTGGGTGCACAGTGGGAACGTGATAAACCGATGATCGTAGTACAGGGTAATGAGGACTGTGATCAGGGGAGATAATGCAATATCAGAGCTTGTGGGAGTCAAGAAAGGCTCCCTGGGAGAGAGAGGATTATGCTAGGCTGAGGAAGGTGAGGGAGAAGAACATTAACTGCCAAGAATATGGACTGCTTCTTGGATTTGCATGTCAATAAGCTTGTGCGGGGATTTTAGAACTGAAAAGAACCTCCTCATTTCTTGCTCAAGGTTATTGAGACTCAGTGGTTTGGTGACTGGCCTAAGGTCACTCAGCTCTGGAACAGGCAGAACTGGGGAGTGATAATCACTCCACCTTGACAGGAGTAGGAAGGAAGCACGGGCGTGCTCAGCTAGGTCTCCATTTTCCATGGTACTAGAGAGTTGGGAGGGATAGTTAAGAGAAATACAGTTGGATCCCCACCATGTATGTTTATTCACGGAGAGACAGAGAGGCAGATGGGGAGTAAATATAGAATCAGCTTTATTGCATGAAGCACAGGATAGCCTAGGAAAGTTGCACTGAGAACATGGCTTGACATCCAGGCTAAAATTGGGTTTCTTGGTGTTCCTTGCTCTCCCATCTCCACCCCATTCCAGAGCTTTAGATCTTTCTTTGAAGGGAGTTGGGTATGAAAAACAGACCCATCCCCAGCCACTCTGAGGTCTGACCCCTGTGAGTTCACCATAGTAGGCCAGGAGCAGGGAGGGGTGGGGGAAGGAGAACTCTCCAGAGGGGTGGACAGACAGAAGAAAGAGTGGGAATGAGTAGCCAGGCGACCCACCAGCCCAGCCCTGGTTTTCCTGAATCATCATCCACTCACCCATGCTTCTGGAGATCAGAAATGTGGGTAGAGGTGGGGATGTGGGGACAGTTTCCTTAACATAATGTATATATTTTTAGGAAGAATTTAAACCGTGCACTTGCTTCCTTGGTGGGACTATAATGTCTTGTTAAATTTTGAAATTTATCATCTCTGTATTACAAACAATAATATGTTCCTGATCATCATCTTCAGGGTAATTTTTATCAGTGTCTGAATGATACATTTATGAGGTTACCTATAATTAAAAGTTGTTTATTGAACTTGTTTGTTTATTGTCTACTATTCCAAGTAAATCCTGTTTTTATATTTATATATGCCCATACACACAAGATACACACACATACATGCACATAACATGTCTACAGACTCGAGTAAGGTGTTCTTAGGGTCTTTTAAAATGTTTTTTACATGTTACTTTTTCACATGAGTTTTTCTGTATGTATTACACAGTCATACTCTTTTTATTGCCCTTCATTTTGCAGCTAACTCTGTTAAATTTAAACTTTGTTTGGAATTTTTCTTGTTTCATTAAATAGTCCTCCTTACTAGGTTGTTAAGCCTGTTTAGATTTTTCCAGGTATCAATAATTTATTGAATTCGTTGTTTGCCTTTAAGTGAATTACAGAGGGAGTGTTTCCTGAGCTGTGGGTCTTTGTTTTTCTACATACAGTTAATACCCATCTCATGTGGCTATGCTCCATTACAGAACCATATGCTCTGTCTTAGGCTAGAGTGACCTTTTATTTCTGGGATCATAGGGCTTTTCTTGAACTTACTCTCCTAAGTCCCCAGTGGGCAGTAATCTCAGCTTATTATCTGGTTGCTCCCATTGCTGCAGCTTTCCCCCAGAGTTAGCTTTTGATCTTCAGTCTTGCAGGGCAGCAGTTTCTTTGTAGCTTTTGGAGAATGCAAGATTATAAACAGAGATTCATTTGAAAGCTGTTTTTTCCCTAGAGGGTAGTCGAGAACCAAACCAATCTCTACTTTAAAGTCTAACTATATAATAATTAAAGCAAAGTATGGAGGAGAAATAGGGCACAGAATTACCAGTTCTTTTTTGTAAATTTGATTAGTAAGTTTTTTTTACTGATGAGATCTTATGAAATCTGCCACCTAATGGAATATATGGAGCTTATCCTAATTTTTCCAAACCATTTTCCAGCCATTTCCAGCCCCTTTTGTACAACCAGAGGTCATTAAAAAATTTTGTTTTAAACATTGGAATCAGTTGAGAGGTAAGAACAAATGTATTTCTTAAACATAAGTAATTGTTTACCTTTTTCTCTTATTAAAGGTTAAAACTGCTTATAAATGTGCATGTGTCTTACGAGATACCATAAATCCATACCTACTGCGGAGAATGAAGTCAGATGTCAAAATGAGCCTTTCTTTGCCAGATAAAAATGAACAGGTCTGTAAATCCAGGAGTTACCAAAACATTTCTGAAGCGTGGGTGTACCTGTCTGTTTACTTTTCATGCGCAAAGTTGGCGAGGCTAACAGGTGTGGCCGCTGGTGCTGCTGGGCTGCTGCTTTATGTTTGTATACATCTGTATGTGACAGGTGAGCCTGCTGTGTCATCTGCCCTTGGCGGGACTCTTCCTCTGTCCACAGGCTTTGCTCTTTTGCTTATTAACACACATATTCCTGCAGCTGCACTTGTAAACTTCTCTATTTTCCTCAAGCCCCAACTCATTCTTGCCACAAATCATAGTAGGTGCCAGTCACATTCCTGGGAGATAGCAATGAACAGAGCAAACGCTCACTCTCATGAAACTCACATTCATTCTTGAGGAGGGGAGATAGTCATAGGTAAATATGTCACATGGCAGGCAGCAGTAGTGTGGAGGAAAAAATTAGCAGGGTAAGGGGGATGGGGTGAGTAGGGGCGAGGATTTGGGGAAGGGGGCTTCTTGTAAGGGATGGTTAGAGGTCTCCTCTCTGGTAAACAGACATTTAACAGAGGCCTAAAGAAGGTGAAGGAGTGAGTCATGGAGTTTTTGGAAGAAGAGCATTTTAGGTAGATGGAAGTGGAAGGGCCTTCAAGGAAGGCATTGTGGCCTGAGGGCAGGAAGAAGGATGACAGTGGTCAGAGGGAGAAGTCAGATGGCTGGCCAGATCAACAGGGCCTCCTGGTCACGCTGAAGACTGGATTTTACTGTGAGGGAGGAGGTGGTTCACAGGGAGATAAAGGAATGATGTCATCTGACTTAGGTTGTAAAAGGGGCATCCTTTTTTTTTTTTTTT